CTGAATTAGCAAAAATTTGGGCAGCACTGCCTTTAGAAAAGGAGACTTTCAAATTTTTACTAAGCCATATATGAACTTTAGACAAGTCGAACTTTGAAAAGTTAAAAAGTTGACTAACCCCTTGAATTTGCAGAAATTTCGGCAGCGCTTCCCGTAGAGAAAACAACTTAACAAAATTTATACAAAGTCAAGTATAACAAAAGATCCGAGAAAATAAGAGAATTGACCTAAGTAAAAAAACTTAGTTCAAAAAATGCAGGAGTTGAAACTAGCTCCTAAGGCTCTAGCACATGGCGAGCAACTCATGCAACTACCTATCAAACTGAAACTCCGACTAAGTAGTAGCTTCACTCAGTCACATGCAGGCCAACCCACAAATGTAAGTACTCTCACCATCCCAAGTTCACCTGAACAAACAATAGTTCATGATCTTACAATGATTCATCCCCTTATACCTAGCTTACATAAGGCATAAGGTCAGGACACCCAAACTTATGGAATGAGCCCAACTTGGTTAGAGTATACACAAACACAGGGCACAACAACTTCTCTCTTCTATGGGCATACGACTAGACCATCCTAGTCACCCTGAACTATTTAAATAGCCAAGTTATATATATCTCTTTGAACTTAATCTTCAAAGTGGGCGTAGGACTGAACCATTCATCTTAGAAACAATGCTTAGCCGGCCCAAGTTACCTTTATTTATACTCTTAATTAATACTCTCTTCAGTTTGTCATAGGCTACAATCAGACCACCTAAACTTATAGAACAGTCTGACTAGCTTGTTCATATATAGGATAGTAATAAAATATAGCCAAATTATACCATTGGGTTCCAACATGTGCGGGTTTTGAGTCAGACCACCTGAATTTACAGAACAGTCTGACTCTCTGCGTGATTCATTTCTCTCTGATCCGATTTGTGCGTGGCATTGGACTAAACCACCTGAACTTACATAAGGGTCTGCCCTTTTGCCAAGTTCATTTTCTCAAAATAAAACAGAAAGAGGTTGAGTCAAGTAAAAGAACGGTTCAGGCTTCTTCGCTCAGAACCAAATAAACAGAGGAAACTCAAACTTAACAAAAACAACCAAGGCACCTGAACTTACACAACGCACTTGGCCCTTGAAAAAGTCAACCACACGCAGCCCTCGCAAGTCAGAGCAACCAGACCACCTAACCTTATAGAATGATCTGATTCTCAATGCAAATCCACAGCACTAAGTCTCCCCAAGCTTTTGGGGACTTCCCAGCCTTCAAAGCAATCAGACCAGCCAAACTTATGGAATGGTCTGATGCTCCAAGCAATCAAAAGTAAGAACAACACTGGGTCTCCCCAACTTATGGGGACTTCCCAGCCTTAATGACAGAGTCAAACCTCAGGCAAACTGCCTTCCTTCCTKCCCTCCCCCAGATGCAATCTCTCTTTACAATCTGCTTTATGTCAATCAACAAAACGGAAACTGAGATTTGCATACATTCCTTTACTTTATCTTAGTCATGTCCTGAAAGTTAGACGACAAGTCAAAGTAGGGATGCATGCAATATACTCACTCAAAACACAA